CAGTCAGACTCCGTGCTACTACTGAGATTTTTAAAAAATCCAGTAAAACTTTGCCCGACCCGGGAATCGAACCCGAGACCCCTTGCCTGGCAGTCGCACTTGGGACCACTCGGCCAATAAGGCAAGTTCCAAAATAATTAAACAAAAGGGTAATAAATGCCACAAGGCTATTACCCTTCTGGGTATAGATAGGACACGCCATTATACTCACCAACACAAAAATGTAGGATTACGTCCACAACAGAAACAATACAAAATTATTACCGAACCATTATATCTACATACCGCTACAGACACAAAGTCTACAATATTCACAATAAAAACTAAGTGCTAGGGGCACATTGTTTTACGGGATTAAATTTTCTACGAATGTCAAAACTTGCTTCAAAAACAGTAAATAAAAGAAATAACTGCTTTACACCTTTCAATTCTTACGTGCTAAGTGTAGGAGTGAAAAAAATTGCTACCTACGCAGTGGATTAACTGAAAGGGCTCAAATAAAACAGTTATTTGGGTATTGAAGGAGGTTTCGAGGTGTTCCCGTAACACATTGTGTCAATTGTGGGCATTGTGGAGGCTTGCGATTCGATTCACATCAGTATGATGCGCGCGGTGCGGGGGGATGTGATTGACATGTCAATGTAGCTGTCCAGTTTGTAAGCCTTTGTACAGGAAGAGTTTGTAGCCACATGTGGGAACTCGGAGTGTATACAGGACGAGCGAACGGTACATCTTTGTATAACAGAGTTGTCAATATGTGCAACGAAGCAATACTTATACAACTATTGAAATGTCGTACTTATGGGATATTTTGTCGTTGAAGTACACGTCATAGTGAGTAGAACCAGGCGGTATAGAGGCCAAACGTGCGACGGCCGATCAAATTTAAAAAAAAGTATGGATTTTGGCGTTATTTAATTTTTTTTATTTCCTAAAATGGAGGAGATAATTATGTCATAACATAAAATGAATATGTTTTAAAATCAACCATTTTAAAATTATTTGGAAACATGTTTCTGTAAACATGTGAGTGTTAGGTACTTAATCGATACGTACTTTTATTTAAACTGTCAAACACCAAGCGGTCACGGTGACCGCGACCTATTGTTCTTTAATTGTGTCTATAAAACCGGTACTCGACGAGTTAACACCTAACAAACTACCTAGGTAGGTACCTATGTAAGTACTTACTTCAAGTCTTGCCAAATAAAGCAGAGCTTATCTATAGATAAGTAATTTTGACAGTCGAGACAAAGGCAGTGCAAGTAAACCACTATGTTGTAACGTTAAAGTATGGCTATTTAAATTTTTCGGTTAAAGAATTTGAAAAGGTTTTGGTGCAGTGACAGTCGGATCATCTTGCATCATAGGATTAGTCTAAAACTACTTTCTTTGTACATTGTGTCGCCGGGGACAGAGTGCCGATACTGCCGGTGGTCTCTGGGATTGTACAACTACAGAGACAGAGCTTTGAAGTAGCAGACCGCCAACACTGCACGAGACTACACTTACAAATTGAACGTTGTATATACTGAGATAAGGTAGCAACTTGTTTGCGGGTTCACCGAGTCTTGCTATATGCTAGCTAAACAGTAGACGCAATAGTTAAGAGAATATTCCACTTCGGTGCCCACATAAAGGGAGTGCCTATTGTCACTTGTCACTAGTCTAAAGATCTCGACAATGTAAAATATTCAAGTTTATTTTTATTTAAAAATTTATTGTTTTGTAGCGGTTTATCACTTGGACCACCACCCTAAAATTTGAAGAAAATCGCCATCGCTTATGATTTTGTACCGTGGCCTTAAATCAGGTGAGGTGGTGGTCGACGCCCATTACACTTACACGCGCAGCAACGCATGCGCCGAGTGCATCTTATTTGTACGGGAGTCGGCGACGAAGACCTTGAACGATCAAGCCGCCGCGGGCATGCGAGCTGTCCTACGTGATCGCCGAGAACCGCCGCACAGCGCGTCTTCCACCTGCATACGAATAACAACCCAGTGCTACCTTATTTCTCTCTTTTCATTTTTTATTTCTCTGTTCTAATTTGTATTCTCTTAATAATATGTATTCGCTGTTAATTTCAATAATATCATTCATTTCTCGTTGCTAAAACCATTATTGCTATCATCCTTCTCTGCTGCGCTCGCTTCACCACCGTGTTACTCTGAACCTTAAGACCATCGCCGTACAGGTCAAATTCCTTTGAAGCTTGTTGGTGCCGGTACGACTACCCGCACCACAGTTTCGCACGTCCCTGCAATGTACACTTGTATAAAGATGGCAAACGGTACTTATTTCGTAATTAGTGCAAGTCAGGGTTCTTGGAAGGAGCCCCACGACGGAGATAACATGCAAATTGTATAATCCGCATTGTGTTACAGTTTCAAAGAACAACCCTTTCTGTCTGGCACTCAGAAACAATGCGATGGTTTGCAAGTTAGCGAAATAAAACTTTCTTTAGAACAATGCATATACCGTTACTTACCTATTTACACCGTGCTAGGGACCGAGCTGGCGGGCTTAACTAACATTTACAATGAAGTATTCTGTAGTAATATTAATTTGGTGCAACAAAAATTGCTAGTAAGAAGATGTACCTACTTATATAATAGTATACTGATGTAAAGTTGCCAAATTGAAGAAAGCCTGAGTGACGAAGCCGCCACGATGAGCTAATATTGACGAGATATTCTAATTTGTGTGTCGCCTGCGTAAAAACAACAAGAATCCTTTGACAGACAAACACTCACATTGTCCCCGGGCGACCGCGACACACGCCATGTTGTTGCACACGTTACACACAGTTTCACGTGAGAATATTGATAGCTAGCTGCAGTGCTGGAGTAATCACGTAGCCAGAGTAGCATTCGCAATGGGCCCCGCGTAGCCAAGCTTATCTTCACATCATCTTAGAGTACGTCTTTTTTATAGTGAAACGTCACAACAACATATTTCTTCTATAAACTTTATTAAAGCTAAAAAGTTTGGGAAAGATGACCACCATCCTTACTTTTACTTCCATCATGTAAATATAAAATCGAAGGCCCCTCCATTTTGCTACGAGCCCCGCGCTTGATTAATCCGCCACTGGTTAACTGGCACTATGGTAGTCATTTGGCTTTAACCATGAAACCCTATAATTATTACGGTGAGAACAACAAAAAATATACACATTATGTATACTTAATGGTTAGTAATGATATCAAAATGTGCACTTGTATCTTTTAAGGACATTTCTGGCACTAACTCGTCGATATTTTTATCTTTGTAACCGACTTAAAAAAATCGATTGTGCGCGATTATCTCGCAATAGGTTGAACCGATTTTGATGAATAGTGTTTTTACTTAGGAGCAGGACTTAGTGTATTAACCGTCTTTATTATATTAACCGACTTAGGTTAGTTCAAACTCAGCTTTTTTAAACGAACTTTTAAATACCACGCATGCCTTAACTCATCTATATTTAGAAAGAGTGTTAGAGCGGTTATATAGGAACGGAATGAAACTACTTACAAAAATGTGTTTGTTTATGACGAAGCAGGTCAAATATTTGGGTTTTGTTGTTTCTGATGAAGGTATTAAAGTGGGTCCTAAAAGTTCGAAGGTATATCAAACTTCCCCCGGCCAGAGAATATCACTGATTTCAGAGCTTCTTTAGGAACAGTTAATGGTCATCAATTTAAGCACTATGTTGGCACCTTTGTATAGGTTGTTAGGGAAGGGGATACCTTGGGAATGGGACAGTGAGTGTGAGGAGACTTTTAATAAAATTAAAAAGGTTATGACCCTAACAAACTTTGCGGCGGAGAAGCACTATTCGCAAATCGAGCGGGAGCTATAAATAGTGTTTTGCTTAGAAAAATTACACCCGTATTTTTATAAGGTCGACGCACGAACAAGTCATTAGTTATAAAATACCAAAAAAAAAACACCAAGTAGCATACTAGATCTTAATGAAAGCAAATTTAAAACATATATGAAGCGCGAATTGTGTAAACAAGCTTACTACAGAGTGATTGATTATCTTGAGGATAGGAATGCTTGACAGCGTGTAGGTTCGGCTCCACTGGACAATACTCAAATGTAGTCAGTACCTAGTTCAGATTCCGATAATAGGTAATTTAAACATGTCTGTTGTCGGCCAGGATTGAAATTACAAGGACTCATAGTTTAGCTTAGGGATTTAAGTAATAGTTGCTTAAAGCTCTAGTTAAGGTACGAGTTACACTTAATATACGCATCACAGATGCACATATAGAACAGAAGAATAGTTACGACTGATATCAGAATTATGTTTAATTAGTAGATACCTAAATACTTGTCATTTATGTACCTACGTAATAATTACCCGACTACGGCAAAGCCAAAAAGAGGGTTATGCTTTTGGCCGGCATGTATGTATTCTAGGTAGTAGTATTGTAAGTCTAAGCTTATGATGTTTCACCTACCGCCTGACGCAGGTGCTTACCGGACACGGCTTTCCGCGAGCGCCTCAAAGAGCCATCAGCCCACCACAGATAGGGCCCAAAAGGACTGATGCTGATACGGAGCAGCGGAAGACCTAACGGGTTGCCGAGGCTCCGGCTCAAAGTGCAGGAGTAGGAATGGGGTGGTTTTTAGTCAGTAAAAGAGTCTGACACTCTTCTTCTTCTCGCCTCACCCGAGCGAGAAAGGCCATTGGATGATTTTACCCCTCAAAAAGGCTATGAAATTAATGTGAAAATATGAAGACAGTCATATTAAAGATGCTTTTCATGCTTTTATTCAATCTTGTTTAAATATTACAATATTTACAAAAATGTGTTTTCATTTTAAATGCTTATCTAAAAGATAATATTACACAATAAAAAATTGCACGTCAATAATATTAAAGGCTTATAACCATTTCATGGCTTCACTTGACTCTGCTTGTAGCTAGTCATGCTACGCAATATTTGCACATTGTGTATCACAGCTGTATGTATGTGTGTGTGTGTGTGTGCTGGTGGTCCGCACTAGCACAGACTGGAGCGGCGGCAGCGTGTGCAGGCGCGGGAGCGCAGCGTCGCCTTGAGCGCCGCCAGCTGCTGCTTCAGGTACGACACCTCCACCGACAGTTCTACCTCGCGCAGCTTCCGCCGGTCGCGGCTCTTCTTCGCCGCCGCGTTGTTCTTCTCGCGCGTGCGTCGGTAGGCGTCGTCTTCCGCCACGGTGCCGGCTTGCGCTTGCGACCGCACAGCGCGACGCATGTTCGGATTGCTTCCGACTAAAGTGCCACCTTGATGATTTTTTATGGCAGCCATGGCAGCGTCAACGTAACGGCGATAATCTGGATCCTCAAATTCCAGCTCTGCAGTCGATTTGTCCTGTGCAGTGGCGGGTGGGCCAGGCGGGGGTGACGATGACGGCGTACTCAAAGAATGGTAGCCTACCAATGAACTACCACCTGAGGAAACTTCCACTTCTCCATGGCGTGGAGGCAGCGGCAGGTACCCTGGCCCTGTCGGGTATACCGGGTACGTCGACAGCGTCGGGTGTGCCGCCGACACAGGCACAGCTACAGATTGTGGCACGCGTGACACACTCAAATCCGACGACAGAGGTCCCACTACCTCTGTCGCCTGAGTCGTCTTATCATCCTCGACAGTGTTGACTTCTTCAAAATTGAATGGTCTCCAGATAGACATGATTGCACGGGCAAAGCTGACTAAGGAATGCCGTTCCCGAGGTGGCCGCTGGCCGGTCTAGTATACTCGAGGGGCGTGGTCGCGGGGAGCGCAAACGTCAGCCTATAGCGCCGCCCATTGGCTGTCCCGACATCGTGATTGTTCGTGCACCAACGTGTGATTTATTTGCAGCGAAATAAAAAGATGTGTATCGTGAATGTTTAAGATTTTGTGAGAAGATGGATAGCTGATGAATTAAGTAATTAGTTTTAATTATAAGTACCTATAAAAGCAAAAAGCATACATTAAGAAAGATATTTACATAGAGAGGAGTGGAAGGAGGGTAGGGAAGCCTTTGCCTTGCAGTGGGACGATCATGGCTGAAAATAATAAATAAATAAATAATAATCCAGCTGGGGCTGCAGACAAGCAGGGTGAAGCGAGTAGATAGACCTACAGCCTAAAGGTCAATGTACAGCCCGGCACGCCTCTAACCCAGCAATTTACTTGTCATTTAAATATGAACTTTAAATCGTATCATGTTATGATATAATTGCATAACATCAATATAAACAAGCTGTAAGCAAGCCGTTCGCGCGCCGACAGCGCGTTTACAGCTTTTTTGTATTGTTTCCTAAGCAATAAACGCCGCGCCGGAGCCGCGCTTGTTGAGTGTGTAATGATCTTATGAGTTACTGAACCCTGCTTGATCTTCAAATAAAGTTCGTCCTGAAAGATAGGAAGTAGGATGATGATTTATAATACGCTAAGGTCAGTAGTCACGACCTGTCAGCCATCAGCCCTCACGTCATCTTTTTCAGAAACCAGTTAATTGTGGTCTCGCTTTGTATGATCTGTTCGCACATGGAACGGTCGGTTCATACTGGTTTTTACACCCTGAAAGTGCTATGTAGGCTACACATCGGTGTCTGGTTCTGTAGCTCTCGTACTAATACCACGCTACCGCATTACATTCTTCCAGCAGTTGGATCCACTAACAGTTCCATTTTATTATAATGGGAATGCAAATTTCGCGAGATTGGAGCTCAAGCCAGTTCTCGTGGGGTTCGCATTTTTGTACGTGTTTATTTAAGTAATCATAAAATTATGATAAATCAGAAACATTAGGATTTTTTTCTCAGAAATTGGTACAAAACAATTGCCTACGTAGGCCTAAAACGCTTAATTTTTTTTAATGAATTTTAAGTCGTTTACTACTTCTGCTTTGATGTCATTATCAAATGACAAATGAAAGAAGCAACCAGACTTCTCTTCTACTATCAAACAAATATTCTTTAGGTACCTACTAAACCAAATCCCGTTCATCTCGTCAGTTGGACCGAGATAAATCTCATCAAAAATGGATGCGATTCAATCGAGATATAAGATATCTTATATCATTATAAAATGTTTTTGAACTTTAGACTTACAATTCTTATTGTATTTGGGTACCTGCTAAACTTGTGACATCGTTATCTTTATTTATATTAAACTCTGCAAAAGAATTTATATGTAAGTATATCATTAATCAATAACGACGTTTAATATATTTGTTTGTTAATGACTTTGTTTGTCACTTCACGTTTTGTTCTCTGCGCGAACGTGTTGAACTTTGTGCCAATTACCTAATAATCCCGAATCTAGCGTAAACAACTATTGTATCTACAGGTAATTATCTACTTAATCAAATAGAATAACTTATATTAGGTGTAAGTGAACATGGTAAGTACAGCGTTAGGTAATGACATTAATAGGTACATTCATAAGGATTGACAACATTTCCAAAATGATTTATCTATTCTGATTGGTTTGGGAAAAGATAGATTGTCAGTGGCAATCTCGATACTGTAACTAATCAAATCGAATAGGTTATTGTAGTCAAGTCAACATGTGTTATTTATACAAGGTACATAGAGTGCATTATTGTGTGTCGCCAGAAACCACCACGTGACGGACAATCGCAGCTTTAATTAGCTGCCCACACACTGACAGCCTCCACAAAGCTCGTGCCGCCGACACAGAGATGCGGGCGCACTGTTTTACAATATTACACGCAGCCTGTCATTTGTGTGACGTCACAACGTCTTTGTTTACTGCACTACATACTGATAAGCAATGAAGCACACAATACCTCACTGACCACCGGCCGGCAGCTTCAATTAGCACGTCTTTTGTTTAGTTAATGTTGTCTTCAACAATAATATTCTAATGTATTGTATTGTTAACACAAAGCTATAAAATCCTAGTACTTTAGAAACAGTTACGTCTTACAAATAAGTTATGGTTACCTGTTGCTATAGGAAATAATAACACGCGATGTTATTACTGGTCTTTTATATAAGTTCCTCTCAGGAAGCTACTAAAGGTACCTCAAAAAATTACAATTTCACAAAAAATATATTTTCATTTAAAATCTTGTCAAAACGAGACCATAATTATAACTCGCACAGTCCAAACGTAATTAGATCTCATACAGAGAATATCTAACCTTACATACCCAGCTCTAACTTAAGTGTAAAGTTAGTACTTATATATAATCTACATATCTTTCATCGAACAATGCTCCATTCACCCAAAGGTTGCCTGGTAGAGATCGCTATTAGTGATAAGGCCGCCTTTGTACCCTACTATTTTTTATTATAACTCTAATGTATGTATATTCCATTTATTTAAGGTGTACAATAAAGGTTATTATTATTATTTCTTGAACCGTTTATAATTCTCCCATCTTAGTGGGGTTCATAAAAAGCACGGGCCGAAGCCAAGTGCGGTTAATTAAATTGAATGTTATATCTATGTGTTTAAAAATTTTCGGGTTAGGCGACAAGTGTTTAAAATTACTGCCTTCTGAAGAAGGAGGTATGTTGACGGGCTAATATTTAACTCTTTAAGACTATTATGGAGAGTTTTTGGGATAACCCCCGTGGAGGATAAAATTATTGGAACAGTTTTGGTATGGGTAATCTTCCACTGAGTTTTTATTTCTATTGATAAGTCTGTATATTTTGCTATTTTTTCGGAGTGTGTGGTAGTTGTTATTATTTCCATATATTTATTTAAACTTTCTCTAAAATTACATTTTTAAATACTACAGTATAAAAATAATATTTAAAAATATAAAAATAGGAGCCGACCAGTAGTGGGAGCATGGTCCAAGCTACCGGTGGTTAGGGCTCCAGAGACAGAAACCTCCTCACAATGCGCGCCGTTTCAAGGAGAACTGCCTTCTGTATCAGGCCCTTGACCCAACTGCCTAACGCTAGCCTCCTAAGGTGGTTGTCGAGGCTATTAGGGATTAACCCATTGGCCGACACGACTATCGGCACAATGATAGCCGAATCTACATTCCACATGTCGACAACCTCGTGAGCCAAATCAAGATATTTGATTTGTTTATCTTTTTCAGCTTTCACGAGGTTCTCATCATGAGGAATAGTGATATCGATTATCATCGTGCGGCGCACTTGTCGGTCTATCACCACTATATCAGGTTTGTTGGCTATAATAGTCCTGTCAGTGATGATAGACCGGTCCCAGTACAACGTGATATGGTCATTTTCCAGAACTGGGTCGGGCACATACTTGTAGTACGGTACCTCAGACTCAACAAGTCGATACTGCAAAGCAAGTTGCTGATGGATAATAATCTTGGCTACTTGATTATGCCTATGCAAATATTCACTGTTAGCCAAACGACCACAACCAGAAATAATATGTCTAATGGATTCACCAGGACTATGACATGCCCGACATATGTCAACCGTCCCATCCTTAATTATATATTTCCGGTAGTTATTCGTAAGGATAACTTCGTCCATAATTGCACAGACAAATCCTTCAGTTTCTCCAAAGAGATTACTGAATCGTAGCCAAGATACGGACGCTAGAAAATCTACACTGGGCCCATGAAGGGCCCGGAAGAAGCGTCCGTGGAGCTCCTTGCTATGCCATACCTCCTTGCGATCATTGACGCTCAGTACCACAGGTTTGCGCCAGTTCTCTTTTGCCAAGGACAGCGGAGTGAATCCATTGTCCACCGCTGCTACTTCTCGATGCATACCCTCGTTGACTTTCAGGAAATATTCCCTGAGGCTGCACACCTCACGGTTGTGAAGGGTCTTAGCATTTAATAGGCCTCGACCACCACACTTCCGCGGGATGTACAACCTCATGACCGACGAACGAGGGTGATGCATGCGATTTGCAGTCAGCAGGGTCCGGACTCGTCTATCCAGGGTGTCAAGTTCAGTCTGTGTCCACTTGAGTATACCAAAAGAATACATTAGGACTGGCATGACCCAACCGTTAAAGGCTCGCACCTTGTTTCCGCCTGATAAGGAACTTTTTAGTACCTTATTCAGGCGGCCAAAGAAGCGCTCCTGTAGCGATTGCTTCATGGCCTCGAATTGTAACTTATAGGGATATCAAAAACATTAACTTAGAAAATTTCAAAGAGGCTCTGGACGCGATCGACTGGCGTGGGGTAATTTCTTCTCATGACGTGGACTATATGGTGTACTGTCTGACAAACAATTTACTGTGTCTGTTTGACACATTTGCACCTCGCAGGAGTGTTAAGATGAGGGATAGATCCTATCCGTGGATTACAGAAAACATTAAACTTATGATGAAACTACGAGACAAAGCCTATAGGGAATTCCGAATTAATAACACATTAACTCACAAAAAACAATACTACATGGATTTTAAGAGTCTAGTAACTAAATCAATTTACCTTGAAAAAGTAGCCTACTTCAAATCAAATATTAATAACAACATCAAACATCCGAAGAGGCTTTGGAAGAATTTAAAATCCACCTTGCTACCTCTAAAGTCTGATATTGAACTACCCGCACATTTCAATGACCCAAACAAAATAAATGATCATTTTTTGAATGTTCCCGGCGATACAATTACTACCCTGTCGACTTACACCTACTATGAATTTCATAGGTTCTCTGATTGCATCCTCTCCCTTAATACAACCGATGACATGAAGATTCTAAGGATAATAACCAGCA